AAAAAAGGAGTTTTACAAATTTTCTAATAGTTTTCTCAAGAAAATCTGTAGTGCGTGATAGTTCAGATGATGCCCTTTTCTAATCATTAAATGTTTGAAATCCGACTATGAAAGTTCTTTCTATTATTGAGTAAACTATATTCAGTTAAAACCTTTGGCAGCTAGTTAAGAAATTGTAAAATTGTAGGAGCAATTAAACTCAGATCATACTCGCTGAATCGCGAAAGATCCATGCTATCAAATATAGGTTTTAGATATTTCCTAATCCATGCAATCTTATGAATAATCAAATTTCGCAGAAAATTAATTTTGACGCCAATGCAGTAAATGAAAATTAAGTAGTTGTTTAGATGTTCTAAAAAAGTTTTTCATGTTACAATTTTTTTCTTAGAAATGGTGTTGTTGACTAGGTTGCCAATTGAAATGTTTAACATATTTTGATGACCAATGAACATACCGAAAAGTGTAGGAAAACAGTTGGGCTTGGTGTTTCTCCCCACCTTGTTAAACTTTCGAAACGATATCGCATTCATCCCATGCAAAAGAAAGTTTGTTGTTCTTGGTAAAGCGCTAAAAGGTTTTTTTCTAAATTTTAGAAGTACTGATTGTCAATTACTTACAGATATTTATTTACAAGTGTAATAGTCTTGAGAGACGTACCGTATAAATTGCGATGATCCCACTGAATCGAAAATGATTATGTGAACGTCGGGATGATCATGCATGCTTAATCGTTCTTCGGAAGAATTCCTGAACAAGATAGTTTTCGACCGGGATGCATACGAAGGACTATACTAGACGCCTACCTTTGCTCTACTATCTGTTTATGCACAAAACGAAGTATTCCGTCTTCTTGTTCGGATCGATTAAGATTGCACTCGGTTTCAACAAAATCGCAATGGAACTCAGAATTGACTTCCCTCCATTCGGTTGTTTTGTATTTTTCATCATTTATGTATATAAGACACCTAAGCAATGTTAAAGTGTTTCCAATTTTTATGCTGTCGCTGCCTAAGCTTCGTTTGTACTCTATTTCTAGAAATATAAATAAAATCAGTCACGTCTATATTAACACGAGTGAATCCCTAGGGAGCTAAAAGGTCCCAAAGTGAAGGTATAGTAACTGAGTGACAATGTAGCAGTACATTACTGCTATAGAAAAAACTTGCTTGAAAGTAATGCATCACTGTCATTCTTAACAATTAACAGAGCGATTTCAATTTATCGTACAATAGAAGCAAAAAAAAGAAACGCAGAAAAAATGCGACCGTCTGGCAAGTTCTGTCTTAACATATTTGGCGAACTCAGCAAAGAAGCAAGCAGAGCCTTATAGAGAATTTTCAAAAAGTTGCGAGAGTGCAGTGTTCTTTTTCTACGAAATTTCCCCATAACATCTTTTTCAAGTTTGTTTAACCTCAATTATGTCGTTCATTCCACTTATTTTTTGATATTTGTTTCTATTCCAGCAGGTATAGAAAAGTGGCCACGTTGATCTAGGATAAACTTGATAATGGGTACGGGTCCCATTTATTACATTTTCATTAGAAAAACTTTTATAGATCTAAATACAAATAGACAATGAGCCCTTGTGCAGCCAGTGAAATGATATCAATTCAAAATTAGAACGCTTCATATCTTATTAAAAGCAGAATAGGACAAATTGCTTAAACGATGAAAAGGACAAGCGTCTGACATTTTGATCCACGACTAGTCCTACAGCAGGAGTGAGCGGTTCTATTAGTGTTCTATCCCCATGTCCACCTTCTACAAAGGACAGGATTGTCTACCCTACGTATGCAGTCTAAAAGTCACCGGAGTAAGTGGACCAGGTGATAAATCTTTACTAACATATTCAATATCTTCATGCCTGACGGACTGAATACATGTAAGAGAGGAGGAATTCAGGGGCTGAAGCATGATTGAAATTGAACGACTCCAATGCGAGCTCTAAGAGTGAGCAAAACTCTTTGTTTTTAGGCTCTTTTAGCTTGAATTACAGTCTATAAATTCATTCAAACTTCTTTGGTTTCCCGCTTTCCGGGAAATGATTAATTAGCTAATTTGATTAACGTCCCTTCTGCGGTATGATTCCACAACGCCAAATCCAAAGCGAGATATGAAGGCCTTAGATTGTAAATACCTTCGCCCTTCGTGTCTATCTCTTGACAACGTTAAGTCCGTACGTCTACAGCGAGAGGCTATTACATTGTTTGTTAAGCTTAGCATGAAAAAACATAAAAGCTTGCCAGACAGCTGCGACGCCATTTTGTCCCATGGAGAGGGAGGAGGGAAATTCTTAATCCGGCCGAACTCTCTTTTCCAATACTCCGATTTGCGTGGTTTACCTCGGCACCTTTGATACTCGGAGCACAAAATGTGTTTACTTCCGATAAAATCGGCAACTTTGACATCGCCTCAAGTTCGGATAAACAGAAGGGAAACAAAAAGTCGATCATACTTGCAAAGGGACCCTACCATCGGTAAGGATAATGCTCTTCAGAGGAGGCGGGCCCGCTCCTAACTCTTGCCTTTTGCCTCCGTGACACACAATTCGCAATATATTTTGCTAGTTCACTGTTTTCTGTTATTCCTTTGAGCCACCAAAATAGGGTAGCATAACCTAAGAATCTCAACCACAGTGTTAAAGACCCCGTGTTGTGCTGGTAGAGACAAGAGGCGTCTTCTTCTCAACACAACGCGTGCAGTCCCAGTTAAAGTCTCGGACCATTTACCCATTAACTTACCCGGCAGTTTCAACAGCTGTCCTTATCACACCGTCCAATAAAAGCATTTGAAAAGCTAATTTGGCTTACCGTCCCTTGCAAGATGCATCGCTGTTTGTGTTTTTTAATATCAACGTCCCATTGACCAGCTCAGTCAGTGGGAGGAAGTCTCCCTGCACATTACAGTTCTAAATGTCAAAATTGAGTAAGCATCCTTTTTTTCTTTCTTTTGATTATCATACCTTGAACCCATTACTATCATCAACATATCTTGCTATCTCTTCACGCCATGGGTCCACTGGTTCAAATGGACAGAAATCAAATATATCCGAGAATGGAGCTTCCTCTTGAAGACTATTATTTTCTTTATCTAGATCAAGCTGGACTGAAAAACAATGGTCAAAAAATATTATGTCATAGAAGAAAGTTCTCATTTTAATTTTAAGAGTTGTGCTTTTTTTTGCATTCTAAGTTCCAACAGCTCCACAGTACCGTGGAATTGCACCAGGTTTTGTTTGGCAAAATTCCCTTTTAAATCTTTATAATTTGCAGTTTTCGTACAATTAAACACTTCCTCTTTTTTGTTGTTTAAGTTGGTGCGATGGGACCAACTTAATTGTCTTGGTAGCACCTATTTATAATGATCCCGCATAGCTGTATATTATTGCACGTAACTAGTCAGAAAGTCATCCAACATTTTTACTTTTGTGATCTTTATTGATGTGTTGCTCTACCTGTCGTTGTCATTTTCTATATTTTCGGCCTATTTTTGTCATTTTGTTAAGAATTGAAGCTATGTGAAATATTGTGATTGACAGGCTTTGGTAGAAAGGTCCTTAAAAAAATTCCTTCTTTCCAACTCATGGGTTTATGTTCTTCCCATTGTGGCATGTACACAAATGCGTGTAAGCAGGAAAAATTCTGTTTTGCTGTCTGCTTGCTTTCTTCTTTGAACTAAAGCGATTGCGGACCCCAGCAAAACAGGGAAGGCGTGCCTCAAATCATTTGTTGAACTAATGATTTAGTCAACAAATTGTTTGGCGCGGTAGTAATTCACCCATAACTCTCAGTTCATCATCGTCTGCTCGCAGTTAACGCGTAGGTTCACCTTGAATTAACGCAAACTATGAGGATAACTGAAAGGTGCTTGCCGAAAAGATAGCACGTCGTTGCAAAACCAGTGGAACTCAGTGGGAGCGATCCCGGGATCAGCCTTTGTGCACCTTATGCCGCATCAACACCTCTAGGCCAATTGTTTGACAATACATTTTTTGAAGGTGATCCAGCAAGACATGATAACTGTTCTTTAGTAAATACACTCACAAATTTAGCTGCTTTATAACTCTATCTACATAACAACACTGGTGGAAATGGAAATGCTGCGTAGTGCTCATTATAACATCGAAGTTTGTTTGCTAATGCTGTTACAAAGGAGAATGCTGCGTAGTTAAACGTAATTGTTGTGAGAAAGCGTTATTTATTTTTATCCGATAGCGACGACAGCGACGGTGCCTTTTCTCGGACCAATCGTCTATCTTGGAATGCGTCAGCGTCCTAGTCCATGGCGACAAAGCCATTCGTGGACCAACTGCCTATCTTGAAATGCGTCAGCTCCCAGCCGATGGTGCCCGATGCCC